GGTTTTCACCGTTGAGCTGGTGCTTAAGGTATGTGTTTCTCTCCAGCATCACCGTGCACTCACACGTCCGATGGGGAATTGATTGTTATGCTGCTGGATTCGAAATTGTAGTGTAAGGACTTTAGAGACATGATTTTTCATCAACACATGAAGACCAATGTGAGTGGAATTGATATTGGTGATCAATTTCGCGTGCTCTCATTCAGCTGAAAACACATTTATGTGATCATGTAAAAAGAAGAAATTAATCATTTCAACTCTTATGTTTCTTCTTTCTGCACTACCCTATACATGTGCGTTTACGGTTGAACGAGAGTATGCGAAATCGATTGTCAATATCAATTTGTTTTCTTGTGTTGATGAAGTGGATCAAGGAGAAAGGATGTTTTACACATGGTCTTTCTATGGTTTTTCTGTTTTACGATCTACCACGAAAATGTGATAGAAAAATGATTTTGTCGCCGTGCTTCCAACCGAAGGTTCTGTTGATCTGGAGACATAGTATATATTTGGTCAGTAGGAAGTGTTTGCGGAAAGTTCAAATGGATCTTTATGATTTATGCATTCATTGGATCTCAACAAGGATCCAAAGACTCGGTCACAAGTTTTGCATAGGCACATTCAAACAGGAATCTCTTTATAGTAATGCAATTCGTTTCAACGCCAACAGTTATCTCAGCATGAGTTCAGTGCAGCAGAGAACTACGCGATAGAATCAAGCATCTTCATGAGATGAAGAAAAAGTATCACAGTCAGGGCATGCGTTACCATCAATTATTTTCTAGTAACATCCGTGGTTGCATAAAAGGATTCAGATTGTCTTTGCCTGTAAGAGTGATTACCTTTTGAAACATCCATGCGGGACATATCGTATACAGGTCCGGCATTACGGATGTGGTGGTGGCTCGGTGGCAACGTCAGCAAGTTATGACCCCGGGGATGTGTTCAAATCCCACCACCACCGCCTGACTCTCCCCATTGTGTGTTGAACGGCAGCTATTTGATTGGCCGCTTCCCCTTTACCGAAAAGTGTATCAATGTATATTTAATAAAAGAAAGTAAAATGAAAAAGAAATTTAAAAAATTGAGCAAAATGATTTACCGTTCGGGAGCACAGTTAGATTCGTACCAGGGCAGTGTCAAGATGGCCACAAAATCAATCTGCCAAAAATGCATTTAGTTATTCCTTGTCAAACATGTTGTCCAATTAGACGGGTTAGTCTCTGCGCAAGTGCAGACTGACTGCAATCGACTGACAATCCCTCTAACTGATACGTTCTCTGGTTCGTGAGTATCTCGCAGGTTGATTAATTCAAGACCAACTTCATTCTACCGGGTTGACTAATGTAACTAAGTCCGAAGAGTTGGGTTTCCGATTGTTCAGATGCGCATATAGGTAGAACTTTATTGCTTCTAAGGTAGATCATAATAGTGGGTATAAAAACAAAGTTCATTCACAGTAAATCTTCGCAATATTTAGAAATAACAAGTCGTCTATGATAATTCTGACAAACTCTTTCTTGCTCTGATTTGTTTCAGAATATAATGTACTCCGTTTATTAATCCACCAAAATGGAGGAAAGCACAGCAAAGCACAGGTGATAAAGTTACCCCCTAATTTTACAATAAATCAATTCGAAACTCATGATTCAGAACTTGCAAAATGAAGATGGAAGATGGGTAAATACTCCTGAAGCACCAAAACACCCGATCCTATCCATAGAGACATACACTGTATGCGTTTTTTCAAGTTACAATAAAGTGTAGTGTTTATTTTATTCATCAGACTGCAATTCAAAAGCTCCGTTTAGAAAAATTAATGTGATAAACAATCAAAGGTCTACAGCACAGAAAACTGAGCGCGTTGAAGGCATTACTCTGCCAGGAATAGACAAAATAGACAAGGAGAAAATGAGGTGTTTCACCCCATTTTTGTCATTTTTCATGTGGCTATCACATATTCGAATTGTTCATCCTCACTTACAACACTTCATCATTTTACAATATCCAAAAAGCCCGCCAGCGTGAAAAACAGCATCTCATTAGCCCCAGCAATTCTCTTGAGAACGCTCACTCCAATCAAACTGTCTAATCAGTTCTTTCTCTTATGCTTTTTCTTTCACAGGTGATTGACTTGGGTGTGGTACTTCACCCGGGCTCGTATTTTCGTGATGCATGGAACATTTTGGACGCGATTGTTGTGTTTTTCGCCCTGGTCGCATTTGTGGTCAGGTAGGAGCACTGAGGAACTGATCGATTTTCTTCATTTCTAACTCGTTTCCGTTGCTATGTGTCTTTTTTCTCATAACCGTGGGTTTGGAAAATTGACTATGCTCAACCGGATAGAGGCAAAACGATACAGATTCCGAATGGGGATATGTTTTGTTTTGTTTCGACCTACTTAGGAGAACAAGTGAAAAGTTATTCTTCATTCATTAGAGGAGGTTGAGGCTAAATTAGTGTTCTGATTACCCGAACATGCATCCTATTTAAATATTGCAGAGAACAAACGAATACAATAAACAAGAAAATGTTCCTTTTTACATTTGCTTTTCATTGTTTGCTACAATCATTTAGCCTGAGGTAATTAGCAAACGAGAATTATTAGTATAATCCGCGATTCAGTGCTCAATTCCTAAAGACGTTATAACAGAGAGACAGGACAATTTCTTTTGCTCGTTTTAGTTTATTTATGCCAAACTCTGTGTCCGATTTTGGATTCAATTCGTTCTTCACAAAGTCGTTTCATTTCACGTGTGACGGTCACATGATTGTGAGTATCTGTCTGTTTGTGTGAGTGTGTGTGCGGACGAGCATTTGTGAGTAATGCACAACCTATCCACTCAAGTTCGGATCGCAAACAAAATTTTTCCGTGAAATAGTTTTGTTGTGACTACTGGACTGTGACTACTGATATTATTCAATTCCAAAGGGGACGTTCGTCATGTATATAGAAAACAAATAAAATAAAAAGCTAGGAATCACAGGACAGCTGTTTTGACCTGTTTGGGTCTCATCAATAGTGCGAATCTATCGACCCAAATGGGAATCGAACCCGAGACGTCACAGGCAAAATACATGCATGTCACCCACTCTGCCACCGGGAAGCTGGTCAGGACGTTTTTGGTTTTCCATTCACACAATATAGCACAACCCTTATTTTCGAGATTGCAGGCCACGGACCTCGCTCATCTCAGCACTAGCCTCCAGGGTTATGATTCGGTTGGAAATAATCACAACTGCTGAAGAGACCGAACCAGATCGAAACAGCTGTCCAGTGCTTCCTACCTTCTTAGTTCGCGCTTCTTTCGCTATATACACGACGAATTTTCCCTTTGAAAGATAAATAAGTTTAAATGAGTAGTACAAATTTCTCACAGTTCGATGAAAGACAACCATGGAAAATTTAAAGTAAGGTAATCAACCAAAATCAAACAGAACATTAGAACAGTGAGGGAAAATTCCATTTTTCCAGTCGGGTTGATCTGAGGAGCAGTGCGCAATTGGATCATTGCTAGATTACAGCCTCTGATTTTCTATGCTCCCTCGAGCTCATTCACTGAACATTCAAGTGTAATGATTTTGGGTGAATGAAATGTACCGTGATTTCCTGAACAAAGCGTACGACTTATTTTTATGCAACATTGCACTGGAATTTCGCTAGGCGAGGAGCTTCAGGAACGTGGTTTATTTGTGGACAGGACATTTTGCCATTTGACGTGACACTGACATCAGCCGTACTCCGTGATTATCCAAACACGTCACTCATTCCTAGCGACAATACAATACAACAGACACTACAACCAGATGTATCCCGGTGATCGTGAGCAGGGAATGAATACAAATGTTTCTGAAGGAATATGTTCCTTATGTCAGAAACCTTTACTTATTGCTTATTTATGTCCCTTTGTGGGATTGGCATCATTTTTTCAAAATACGTATGCATCAAAGGTTCTAGATAAGTGCAAATCAATTCGAAATGTAAATAAATTAGGCGAATTATGTTGTGAGTTCCGTTGTGCACACAACAAAACCAAGAATCGTGAACCAAATAGCAAGGATGGACTGCCGAGATGTTTCGATTTAGTTTGGGTCTCATGAGTTGTGCAAGTACGTCGATCCGATTAGGGAACGAACCTTTGAGCTCACATAAACAATTTGTCGCAGTTTTTCTGTTCCGGTTCTGTTTGCACTGCACACGATAAAGTTCATCATGCAATCAAATCCCTGATTTCTCCAATATGGCAAGTAAATGGATTCAGAATGTCTCCATTCGGGTCAGAACTGTGGAGACCAGTGCCATGAGGGCTGAGATGAAATGACTTCAATTAGCTTGCAAAGATGAGTTGGGCATTGAAAAAATTAAAACATCTAACTACCAAACCGTTAATTTTCTTTGGTGATACGCCTAAGTTCAATCTGAGAGCTATCGAGCGTGATCATCAGTTGGGTCGGGGAATTTACACTGCTGATGAGAGCTCACCAGATCTATGCAGCCTGACAACGATTTCCAGCTGTTCACTTAACGTTTCATTCTCCTCCGCAATCCACCAGATCCATCACAAAGATCGATTCATTTACAAGTTGCATTGGTGAGAACAAAATATTACTCATAATTTGATGTTCGAGAGCACATTTTCCAAATTTCAGGTTTTGTGTAAATATTTGTACCTGGTAAATTGCCCCCATTCTAGTCGGTTTTTCTGAGATCTGTGACAGATTTAGGCCTTTTGCATATTACTGACTGGGAGTAAAGGCTAGGTAATGCAACAACAAGCAAGTAAATTCTGAAATTGTGGTTCCGTCAAAATTTGTGAATAAAACAAAAAACCTATAACATTAGATTCTCATTTGTTGCATGCATAATCCCCTATCATACACGTCAATCATTGCGAACAATAACCTTAATCAATTCTCCCGGATACAATGCTGTTAAATTAGGCTTGAGTTGAGCCGACTTTAAACACAAATGAGACTATACGTGTGACGTCGGTTTGAGAGAAAATGGGATTGAAGCCAGATGGTACATATTTGAAGTACACTTTATTATTTAATAAACAATGAATGAATAGAATACTTTATATTGAGATAAGTTTCATTAAACTTATCAGTATTGCATAGTCGTAGTAATGCATACCTTGTTCGAAACTGTCAGGATATCGATTGTTACTTATTTCAGATCCGCAACGTCATTGGGGTAAGAATTCATGTTATTTTATTTTCCTTTCCTTTTTATTTTTAATGAGCTAAAATTGGTCACTCAGTATCACAAAATCCAACGGAATGTGAAAATGTGGAATGCGGTGGAGGCGAAATCCCGGGAGATATCCTACCCATTCATTAGTATTCAGATAACTTCCTCCTAGTTTTTCCCAAGGCAACTGTTCCTATCACCGTAGAAGTAGCAACTTCAAAAACATTCTTTTAGGAGAATGGAGTTTAGTGTCTACTATTTTATGTGTAAATTTCCCCTTCATAATGATAGTATTTTTATGCCTTTTCTTATTGAGGCCTACATTCCACCAATGATCTTAGGGCAAATGTTCACAATGAATGTATTGCTTGAAATGTACTCTCCGTTGAAAAATTATCTAACTCAGTCATTTCTCTTTTGTCGTTCTCACTATCATATTCCTATGACCTGGGAAGTGTCGAATTCCCAATCGGTGTAATCCACACTCATGACCGTAGCCAGGTGCATGTGTACAATTTAATGAGCTAAATGAGTCAAGAAAGCTAGGTTCATTTTAATACCTTTTACATTTTTCAAGAGGTCATTAAAATTTGCTTTAACGCATTTCATTTTAGTCGTATCGGAAGTAACACGTCCGCAAAAAATCTGAATACCATCAAATCGTTACGCGTGCTCCGAGTTCTTCGACCATTAAAAACCATTAACCGGGTGCCTAAATTGAAGGTGAGTTGGACGTGATTATTGAAAACTCATTCCTTAATGAAAACCAATAGCTGTCGGATGGTGTTATACAAATAGAAGAACTCGAAATTCATATTTAATTTTTGAGCACTTTGTTCTCGAGCAACGATGTGTACTCTCATATGTGTTTGTGCAGACTGGCATGCACAAAAAGTGTACTTTTCAGCCTAAAATTAACAGTTACCTCGTGGAATAGGAAATATTTAATAAAACGTAAAACTTTCAACAAACGCTGAGAACTTCAGTATGAACGTACTGCGGACTTGTAGGGATTCTAGCGAGTTAAGGAATTGTGAAATTTCCATTCACGTCAATTCGAGATATCTGTGCATTATTATTGATAAATTATCTTAGTTCAGTTAAACTTAAAACGCTTATATTATGCATCTCATTGAATTGTATTGTATTGTAATAACTTCTGCAAGCATGAAACCCACATTTCAGTAAAAAAATGTACAGTTTGGATCAAAGGAAAAAGTGGAAATAACAATGAAAAAAGAAATTTGAGTTCCAAAACTGTTAACAAATTCTGTGAAAATCTGTCCTTTGTTAACAAGAATACGTGCTAATGAGGGTATTGTGGAGTTGCGATAAATGTTTATTCGAGAGGGAACACAACGATATTGTGATCTATTTGAGGGATGGGAACAACAGGAAGTTAGATCAGCGTGTAGCGGATGTGTGAAGTAGATGAGAATCTTATGCGCAAACTTTTTCAAATGACGTTCTCATAGGTTAGTTATGAACTCCTTTAGTGGGACCGAAGAGACACGGCTAATGATGGGCAATCCACATTGAAGCAAATTAAAATCTTCCTTAAGGAGGTTGGGAAAATAACAGGTGAACAATAAAGTAAAACAGGGAAAACACACTGATACGCAAAGTTGGAAATGATTGATTGTGAAGTACGAAACTGACGAAATTTACGGATATGAAAAGAAAATCGTCGAAGCTAACTGACGATGATTCGAATGTGAGAGGTCCAGTGAAGATTAGTATCAATAAAAACGCCCAAGTATTTAATACAGTTTACACGGGATACTGGTTTGGAACCAGTCGATACCCGTTCAGATGGGAAAGAAGAGCGTGATAGTGGAAAGAGACATTCGAAACATTTGGAAAGATTTAGAGATAAGCCCGAGGTGACGGAAAACCGTTGGACGTTATCCAAGTTGTCAGAAAATTGTGAAAGACCAGAAAAGTCAGAGATGACCAGACAAGACCTACCATAACGTCAGCATACTTGAAGAGAGAAGTAGGGGCGCAAGCAGACAAGTCACTAATGTATGTAGAAAATAAGTATTGGGGAAGAACTGCACCTTGGAGTACTCCAGAGCTGTACAACAACAGTTTATTTCGACTTAACCTGGTACACTGAGTTCTTTCGGAGAAGTATTCGGCAAGTCAAGCTAGTAACCGTCTAGGACAACCAAACGTCTCTAGTTTATGAAGAAGAGGGGAACGGGGAATAGAATCAAAAGCAGATGAGTAGTCCAGAAACACACAACGGACAGATTTTGCAGAGTCATTCAAGGGTTCGGTAATTTTATGTAAAAGAGAAGGAACTACATCCAGCGTGCCTCTGGTTTATAAGCAAACTGGAGAAGATCATATGGGACATCAATAGAGAACTGAATGCGCTTAAGAACAACACGTTCTGCTCGTTCAAGTCCAACAGAGGTTAAAGCAATAGGACGGAAGCGTTTGGTTAGAACGTTTGAAGTAGAGGATTTGGGAATGGGAACAATTGTTACTGGTTTCCAACAGTCTGGTATAGAGCAGGGTTTTAAGGAATTGTTCAAAAATGATGCGAATATTTCACTGAGAGAATAGGCCCCATATCCAAGAAGGGAAGATGAAAGACCATCGGGACCAACACTGCACGTGGTTTTCGCGGCACGCAAAAGCTCAAGAGTTTCTTCTTTCGAGACGACCTCTACTTGAACGGCATCTTCCAGAACAAATGGTGTGATCGCATAGCTTGATGGGTGGATAAATGCTGCATTAACACTGTCCAAATCCATTGTACAATCCGACGTTTTTGATTTGGTCCCACAGAAATTTGATAGCTTGACAAATTCGCTTACTGTTGTTGAAGCTGGGAGGCGTACGAAGCAGAAAGGCGTTTGATTTCAGCTTTGATCAAGTCGGTGTAATGCTTGACAGCCGCTGAGTCTCTAGATTTGTACGAAAGAATGAGAGGCGATTTCAGCAGTGGAGATGCTATTCTGCTATTACAAACAAATAGAGTTTCAAAAGGGCAGCATAGGTTAAAAATGTGGTTAAGTCTTTCAGTGAATAAGTGGACTGCATTCCGTAAAGAGGGATAAGAAGAAAACCACGAAGAAACGACACTGATGGAACGCCTAAGAAGATAGGTATTTCTTGAGGAGAGATTGCGAAGACGAATGGTGATTTGATTGGTTCCTGTGAGTGAATTGTGAATGCGACGGGAGTAGACTGTGGGTCTTATGAGAATCAGTGCATGATCACTAGTGGAAGTGGGTGCGGTGAGTTTTAGGGTAGAATGTTCTGGGTGATTGGTAATAACCTTGTCTAAAAATGAATCACCTCTTGTGGGGGACCAGAAAATATCAGTTAAGTCAAAATAGGTTGTGGGATGAGTGGATGCACGATTAAAGTCACCAACAATGATGTGGAGACTATCGTCTATAAGGGGATCGGAAGACGGAATAAGTGCATCAAAGAAAGGTCAAATGTGAAACTGGGTACAAAAGGGAGCTATTTATAAGTTGGTAATGATTTTACTTCTGTATCGCGAAAATCTAGGGAAACATTGAACAGCTAAGCAGTCGTTGCCATCGGCGGAATAACCAAAATGAATTTCAGACTTGCCGCTCCAGGTTGAGTTGATGCACGTGATCACCCCACCTCCTGTATTCTTCTTACAGTGCTTCCTATACTTGTGGAAGCATTTAAAACCATTGATTCCAATTAGTGAGTCCTTGATATTATGGCCAAGCCAGGATTCTTGTATACAAACAACACTCGTGTTACGGTGGATGCGCGAATCAAGGGTGCATGTTAGATCTGTCATCTTTGCGAAAAGCGACCGGATGTTCGTGCTGACTAATGAGGGGATAGTCATTTTCGATGGTGGTGTGTGACTAAGCGCTGCTTGCCAGCCACCGCGCTTTTAGGAGGAATCCGAAAATGAGCCACCGAGGACACGAAAGGCACACTAGTGAGATGATCCTGATTGAAACTTATTAACTGAAACCGCGAATAAACCTTCCGAGTGGTCCTTATGTGGTATTCACGAAAACAGAATAATTCCGAGAAGGAGAAGACGTAGCGTAACCAATCGAACGGCTCGCCACGGCCAAGATGGAGCACAGTTAAAATTCTTACGTATCGAAGTAAACTCTGATCTTAGAAATACATCTTTTACTTCATTCCATCACTTTTCAACTAATCATGCCGGTCTATGTTAGATGAAGTTCGCTGCTACTAATACTGTACTACTTATGAGTAGCTAATGTATAAATACCAAAGTGATCATATTTCATCAATATAGGAAAACAAATGTCGCGGGATGTGGACATTTATTCTTCTCTCTTCTCATCAATTTCCCCAACCACTTTGGAATATGTTTGGCCATTCGCTGTGATATCTGACGGTTTTTTTCTGCCTATCTATGCGCCCTCGCACATGTAGCTACTTTGGTGAATAATATCTCCGACAGCACCAGCCATGTTTAAGATTTTCCAGGTCAATTCCACGAGAAAATCCAATTAACCTGAGTCAAGCAACTGAGAAAGTACAGTCTAGAGCTGAGCTCAACTTCTCGAGCACATTGGTAAATGTGGTCAACGTTGAACGCAAGCTCTGAGCAGAGGGCCGTTTTGGTAATGCATTCGTTTGGGTTACTTTTGGGGAATGGTCTACTGTGAAAATATATTAACCTTTCTGTAGAAACATTACTTAGCACTGTCCCCCTGAGGAAATCCTCTTCTTCCTTTAGTATATCTAGAGAACAAATTTTCCCTACACGAGTAAATAGGGTTCTCATCAGCACATGTTTGTCAGTCATGGTGGAAGGATTAGAACAGTATAGGTATTGATCATTCCATGTCATTTTACGGTAAAATAAGCGCCGTGATGACTCATTTATTGTCAAGTCAAGTCAAGTCAAGGAATGGCTTCATAAACCCCGAGAGGTAGATATTCAGCAACCACATAACCATAGTGTGTCAAAAAATATGTAAAACACAATAGCATGATACAGCAGTTAAAAGGATGTGAAAAGGGACAGCAACAACCAAAATGAGTGGCTTACCTGGGTGTTCATGAGGGATTTAGTGTAGTGTTTGACGCAGATTTCCCGTAAGGAGGACTTGGTTTGTTAGAAATCTGGCGAGATAAGGAACAACAGACCGCCTGTAAGCTTCAGTGCAAGTCTTTATGAGTTTGTGAGTGGAACGGGTGGATGAGTGAGAAAGGCAGTCGCTAAGAGAGGAATAAAGAGGATGGGAGATATCAGATAAAATCTTATTAGAGAATGTTTTACAGGACTTGAAGTGATGTGTTACCACAAACTCTACTAGATGTTCCCGTGGCATGAGACTACAAACGGAGAGAAATCGGAGGGATCGGGAAATTAGTTTGAGGTCCTTGTTCAAAAGACCAGGGAAGATAACAGGTGACCCATAAAGCCAATGTGGCAAAACGCACGCAAAAGAAAACGCCTTATGAGATGGTTTGGAACGGAAAGGGATTTAAGGCGTAAAACATAAAATGTTAGTCTCCTGACCTTCAAAAAACGTCATTGACATGATCAGACCAGGTGGGGTTATGATTAGAAATAACACCCAGGTATTTGACAATCGGTTTTCGTACCATCTGCTCACTCAGGATAGATAAAGGTGGGCTGGCGTTTGATAATTCATCAAACTTTTGCCCTTTCAGAAGAGAAAAAATTACGTCACTACATTTTTGGGGGTACATGCAGAGGTTTCTTTGTTGTGACCATTCAACTAATCCAGTCACGTCTTCTTGCAGAGTCGTTTGTAATGATGAGTTGGGGTAGAGCAATCCGAATATTATATCATCTGCATACTTGACGAGAAGAGAAGAATTACTCACAGACATAGAGGAAATGAAGGCAGAAAATAGGAAAAGGGATAAAATGGCGCCTTGTAGTAAGCCTATTCAGGAGGGCAGCAGTGAAGATCTACGTCCTTTGTAGCGTGTGAACTGCTGATTGGTTTGAAAAATAGTTGGCCAAGAGTTCAATCGTAGAAGGTTGAACTCCGCCCGAAGAGAGGGTATTTAACAAAGTTTGTCAGTTAATCGTGCTGAAAGCATCACTATAGTCAAGAAAACATGTGCGGACAGCCTTATTTTTCTTGTCCAGGTTAGATAAAACATAGTGGGATAGATAAGCAAGGGCATCCAGGGTACCACGGGAATGGGTGTATGCATACTGGTTAGGGTCAACAACATTGAATTGTGTGGACAGGGTCTTAAGGAGAAGCCTCTCAAACACCTTCAGGACAATTGAGGTGCAGGCAATGGGACGGAATTTTGACGATCCTTTCTTAGGCACAGGGGTGATGGAAGCTAGTCTCCAACAGTCGGGTATACGTTGCTGCAAAATGCAGTCATTGAAAAG